GAAACGTGATTGAACCATTTTCTAAAATTATGTTTTGCCACTTAATAGTTTTTAAACCTAACAAATACTTTATTAACAGTTTAATAGGTACTTAATGTTCAAGATTATAAACTTTTTGTAACGTGTGGGGGCCATAAAGATTTCATTTTGCAGGTTTATGCCAATTTTCACCAATATTATGTACTGGGATCATCGTAAAATTTCTCTCGTTTGGTATAGGTAACGCAAAATATGTATTTACCAAATGGAGATAAATCATGAAATATAATAATTTTTTTTTGGAAATAGAGTTAGATATATTCACTTGTGTACTGACCTTATGATTTCGCCAGCAGCAAACCACTGTGTAAAACTGCTTCTATATCGAATTTAAACCGTTGTTAGTCCATTTCCAAGGAATAAATTTCGATCTTTAAAAGTAAAATTGACAAACTGACACTGCCAAAAATGTTTTAGAATAATCGTTTTTTAACTCTTAGGATGTAAAAATCCATTGGACCTATAACTGTCAGATTTACCTAACCTCACTTATTAATAATAATACTATTAATTATTATTAATAATTTAATTATAATTGATTAAAATGAATATTATAATTGTGCCTTTAATGTACTCTTAAATTATAATTATTCATAAATTATTAAATTAAAAATTACAAATTAAATAAACCTGGCCCGGTGTTTTTTTTGTTTTTATGGACTGTCTGAGGCTTGTTATCTGCACTGGGCAAAATAAAAAATACGCCAGCTGAAACTCTCCACTTTATTACCGAATTAAATAATGCCGAATTGACGTTTCTCTATAGTAAAACTTTTTTAGAAGAGTGCCTTCGTTTTATTCTGTTACCTTAATAAAAAATATTCATGAAGAAATTTACAAACATAAATATTTTATCGAGTTTTTACGAATTCGGTTTCGTCTTACCGCTTGTATTTAAATATATTCAAATAGTTTTACCTTCGCAAAAAGTTGAGGATATAATTTTAAGTAAAGAGAGCGAGGCAAATCAACAAATTTCTGTTATAATAATTATATAATATATATATTATATATATATTATATTTTCCACTTTGGTTGCCTTTTTATCATTAATTTTTTATGGAATTACTTAGTTAAACTAAGTTAGTTTTATAATAATCGCACCTTAACCTTGAAAAATTTCTTTCTCCTGGTCTGTCCTTTTACTGTTGTGATAGTAAATCAGTAGCTTAAAATATATCGAAATCCATTAAAACAAATCAAATTCGTATATTTCATAAACTAACATAAATAATAATTGAAATCTAATAAGTAAAATTACTTCAAATTATTCTTTTCATATAAAATTTTCACGACAGTCAGGTTCCAGCACTTGACATCCGCAAAAATTGATAAGTATCCTCAAGCATTTGCATGACTTAACACATAATTTGCAAAATTAAACACGACAGATACCTTTAAAACCCTAAGAAAGGCACACTGCAACAATAAACATCAGTGACAATGGAAACATTAGAAAGACAATACCAACCAAACACCATAAAATAATAAAGAAAAAAGTCAAACAGCAAAAAACAAAACTTCCCAATCGAACTATCGCGGTGATTCACCAAAGCTGAGTAGGACAATAAATCTGTCAACAACAAATACGTAAGGCATGAAACCCAGTAACTTAAAGAACGGCCCCAACAAAAAACGTTAATTTTAACCTAAACGAGACCAATAAATCATGAAAACCCAAACATAGTAAAAACAGTATACTAATCAAACTCTATTGGATTTGTAGACACATTAGATTATAAAAGAATTTTGAGTTACCAAAAAATAGCAAATAATTATATTGTTTTTTGTGTTATAAATAATTCGTGAGCGAAAGGGTTATATGGGTTAAACAAATTTTAATATCTTAATTCATGACGTCATAATTTAGATGAGATAGATTTATTATTTTCAAATAACCTAAATTCAATTAAATTACGAGATTAAACCAAAAATGTTTGATTCGTTTTTCCCATTCAGCAAATCTCGACTGGTTTTAATTTATTTTTAATTTGTTCCTATCCTATGCGACATAAATCTTGAACTGTCAGGCCTGAAGCTCTTCAGATCTCCCAACTGTCATTCACACAATCTGCAGCGTAATAAACTATTTTCTAAAAATACACTCGTTCAGCGAACGTCTTGACTAATGTCTTTTTTGATACTTTGTTTTTGATTTGGTCTTTATTAAAAAAACAAAGATGCAATGTCAGCTTTTTGTCCCATCACCGAATCAATATGGTGAATATCAACCTAACAAAAGCCTTCTTACTAAATGGAAACGACCTCTAAAATGTTTATAATGAAATTCACAAGTTTATTTCATTAAGAAACCCATTGTCTCCGAAATAATGGCCTCTTAAAAGTTAGATTTACTCCCTCGACACTTTCTTTACAATTTATTTAATAATTATTATTTTATTTCCGTAATCTTACACCACTTCTTTTAAATAACATTAAAGTCTACCTTTAGTTTTAACTAGAAAAGAAACGTTATCTTAAAATAATCAGTGCTTCTTTCATTAATATTATGAATCTGGACGATATGTGGTTTCAACAGGTTGGCGCCACATAACATACTGTCCAAGAAATCATTAACTGATTAAGCACTTAATTCAAAGACGACAGTATATTGCAAAATGGGCCAATGCCTTTGCCACAGAGATTAATTCCTGATAGAACCACTTCTTGATGGAACCAAAATTGGACTTCCGAGATGCGCTTCGATAAAAACAGCTATATATCTAAAATCGTATTCAAAACATAATTTCACAGACCATTCTTTATTATGAAGAAAGATTTTTTTCTACAAACGTCAGTAAAAATCTTAAGGCACTGGTATTAAAAGTAAGTGATATATCAGTGGTTTAATTCTGTTCGAAGGAAAGGGTGTCCCCTTCTCACAAAATTAAATTGTTACTTTTAGCACTTATATCATAAATAATAATAGTTATTAAAGTTAAAGGCGCGGCTCATGAACAATTCACAATACATTTTAAATAGATTTTTATTAGTAAATAACTATAGATGGGATTTTAGTTTTATTATCTTCTAAAAAAATAATAATAACTGTTATTATTATCTATGAACTTACCTATAAAAATGAAGTAAAGGCACACATTTTGGCACAAAAGTCTTTATGATCTGTAACAAAAACACAACAACCACAGAAGAATAACAAAAACAAATGCCACGATGCTTCCCCAACCCAGTACAACCGGGAATTGATTTGTTTGGTATTTAAAATTAAATTTAGGTACTGAGTATGAGTATGAGTATGGGAACGTATGGCAGGCCCCAAAGACATTATCCTCCACTTATCTCCCAGAGTTATTTTACCCCCTTTCCGTTCTTCTGCGTATCCCGCCAAATCACTGCATTACCTGTGTTTGTTGGATCCGAAGTTTTTATGCCGGCTGGTAGATCCACCCTAGGAGGTCGTGGATGACAGTGTCTATGGTTAAGGCCGCTCCACGGATTTTTGTCAGCCGGATCGGGCCATACGTCCAATTTAGGAAGGGTTTTTGGAGGACATTGAACTGACCCAAAACTAAGTACAATCCGGAATCCTCCTCAACCTGGGCCTTAGTAATAACCCCATTCAATTGGGATTTATGAATGGGGGTAGAAGTGTTAGTACGCTGCTAAAACCTGTCCTTGTTGGTGTATTTCTGAACATCTCTGTCCGTGTCAGTATCAGGTTCCTGGTAACCTCTTTAGAATTGTTTGCCCCCCTGTGTGATACTGAGTCTTGTCTACCGTAGCGAAGTGTTGACGGCCATGACACACCGTGAGTGCCCTCTCCCTTGGTGGATATTCCTCCTGCCGAGTACCGGCTACCCACCTTGTATATTCTTTATTTATTTTATTGTTAAATAAGTGTTTATACCGTTTTCTTTAATTTATCCTTGCATTATCAATTAATCAATATTAACATTAATATCTATATCAACCAATTAATCAGTCAATATTAATACCAACATCAATATCAATAATACCAATATTAATACTAACATTAATACTAATAATATTAACATCAATATCAATATCAATGTCAACACCAATAATATCAATACTAATTAATCAATCAATTAATTTATTATACAATTAATTAATCAATTTAATATAAATACCAATATACAAAATAGATAAAGCCGGCCCTGTAGTGTATGTAATTGGAATGCGGCCAAATGGCCTGCATTGGCTATTGAGAGGGTCGTTCTTCTTATCTTCTGTGATGTTCTATATTTTTTGAGCTTATGTTTATTTGGCTTTGATTTATGGCTATGATATCCCTATATAACAAACATAAATCCCAACTATGGGTCCTATTCATACTGATACACCCTATAGAAACACCATACAATCCGATAAAAATCTATCGGTTTGAACAGGGACTCTATGTGACATTTTAACCAGGGAACCACCACCACATTGCAGACCTTTAGACATGGGTTTTCTTTTAGTATGTATATTTTATATTAAAATAAATTTAATTTGATTTGACAACTGAGAGACCCAAAATCAAAACCCAGCAGATTCCAATTATTTAAAATTTAAATTTACTAATTTGAACATTTCATTCGGTAGAATTTGAATAATTAGTTATTAGTAACTGCTTTTCGCTATGACAATAATTATCGAAAAGGAACCAAGCGCCAACAAATTTTTCTGGGCTTGTAAAATTATTTGTAAAATAAATCATTTTTAATAATGTTCTAAAGGTTGATCATAATTTGAAATTTTTCTCAAGAGGATTAAGAGGGTTCTCAAATCATTATTAATTTTTTGAGCAGCATTAAAAATGAGTTATTTTGCTAATAATTTTGTTCACCCCTGAAAAAGTTTTTGGCGCTTGGTTCTTTTTACAGTTACTTACAATTACTTTCCATTCCATCACCAGGACAACCTTTAATATGCTAGTGGTGCTTGTTGGCATTGTTGAGTAATAATTTTAATGACATCCATAAGACATTTATCAAATGAATAATAAAAAGCACTCTAGTGCTCGAAGGTCTTCGGTCAGTCAAAAACAAATATTGTCCACTGCCTATTTCGAAGATGGGATCCGAAAAGTGGATCATGTGCTGGCGGTTTCTCGAATAAGTGCTAAGAGGAACAAAAAAACTATAGAAACTTTTGTGACGAACCTGGAGGCTGCCGGTTTGGAAATTGAGCAAAGTAATGGTATCACTGAACCTGTTATATTTATTAAACTGCATATTCCGGAGCGTACTTTTCGCAATATGTCCAGAGAAACTCCAATTTGGACATATACGAGGAATTCGAGACGAAAGTACGTGAGAAAAAAAACATTTTGCACTCCTCTGGACGACATGGACCCTACAGCCGGGGAAGATTATTGCGGAAGAATATACTTTATTTCCCATATACTTTCATCTGCTAAATACGGCAAAGACGATTTTCATAAGGGGATTAAAAGTTTGCTGGGCAAAAGAATTATATTAAAATCATATGCTTTGCACGATGGTCCCGTAGAAACAAACAGATTAGGCAAAGTTAATGAAGACTTTAATCAAAGAACCTTGCTGGCCAAATATTGGGCCAACCCGTCGATGATATTTAAAAGGGCTCCTTTGGATGTGATCAAGAATTACTATGGAATAGAGGTGGCTTTCTACTTTGCATTTATAGATTTTTATTCGCAAATGTTGGTGCCTGCTTGCTTAAATTCCTTTTTTTTCATTATCGTAATTTTTGGCAAAAGAATGAAATATTTGCAGTATGCAGACGAATCGTGCGATTCACAAATAAAGGTGTGTGGAATATGCGATGATAAAGCCACCGAATGCTACACCCGTTCCATGTTGGAGAGTTGCAAAACCATCAGAATGAGCGTGCTCTTCGACGACTTTAGCTTGTATGTTCACTGTATTTTTACCTGCCTTTGGGCCTGCATGGCGGAAAACCTGTGGCTCCTGCGAGAACGTGACCTTCGAAAGCGCTGGAACATAAAGAATGACGAATTTCTATTGGATAAACGTTTTCAATTTAAAGAAAACGTTAAATATCGAAGGATATCGCCAATCACCGGTCAAATTGAACCTTACCTGCCACTTGACATTCAATTTTACCGAGGCTTCCTCACCCACACGCTTTCAGCAACCGTTTGTCTAATACTTTGCTTTATGTCATGGTGCAAAGTTAATTTCGTTCTGTACCTGCAAGTGTTAACGGGAAGATATAAATGGTTCTCCCCGTACCATCACAGATTTGAATTCCTGTTATGGGCAATACACACTCTCATAGTTCAGATTATCTACAAGGGTCTTAGCTACTTATCTTGGTACTTAGCTTCATTATATCAGCATAAATACGTTGTTTCGCACAGTAACCACTTTATTACCTTGCGCTTTATTTTTGCTGTTTTTAACCAATATGGTATTTATATTTACATTACGTTCTTTAAAGGTCTATTTACCAATGTACCTATAAATAACAATTACTTCTTTTTAAAGTATGATAAATGCGAGCCAAACACTTGCCTAGTGACAATGTTCTTTCTGTCGATGCTAAAATGCTTCGGTTTTCTTTTTGGAAGGGTTTTCCACTCTACAAAATACTTTTTAACAAGATCCAAAAAAGAAGTAATAAATATCCCGCAATATGAAAGGGAGTTTAAGTTGGAAAGGTTTCAGGCGACCTGGATGCCATTGGAATTAATGAAAGTACTGCTGGTGCACACTTTTTTAACCAACTGGAACGCAATTAACATTTTCGGGCCCATCTTGATTTGGATGTGCATACTGGTGAGATTGCGCGGGGATGCCTACTATTTTGTCTACAAGTTGCAGCGACCGATTCCGAAAATCATATTCAACATGGAGTCGTGGGATTTGATTTTGAAATATGTAACACGTTTTAGCGTCATTGGTAACTGTTTGGCCGTTGCGTATACATCGGAAGCCTATAAAAAATATGAATTCTTAAAACAACATGATACTTTGTATGGGTGGTATAACGAGACCTTATCAATATTCGATCAAAGAGACAAATATGGTATACATTTCACCGGAAACAATCCCTTCTGCTATTATAAGGACTTGAGATATCCTTCTGACCATCCTGAAAAATACCAACACAATATGCTTTACTTTGAAAAATTGTTCATGTTTTTTTTAATTTTTTTTATTCTTATAACCATAGTTTCCATAGCAGTTAGAACTTTTAATGCTGTGTTTTTATTAGTTATTTATAGACTCATAGATAAAATTAACAACTAATTACCTATTTTTATTATAATAATTTTTAAAATAAACTTTTTCATCCAGCAAACTTTTAGTTCGAAAAATATGAAGAAAACCCAATTATGCAAAATGGGTCTCAATGTTTCTCATCTTATGCCTATAAGAACGTTTGATTTTTCTTTAATAGTTATTATTAAATTATGAATAACTGTCATGCTTCAGTAAAAATAATGAGCCATATATTGTATTATTTTTAGAAAATAGGACGAAATTAGTGTTAAACTGACAGATAGATAACCTTAATTATTTGTATTCAAATGTCAAAGTGGGTGTAAAGCATAGTACTGCCCTACAATTTAATCAGGACAAAAAAATATTTTTATTATTTATTACAATGAAAAATTATTTGTCCTTTATTACTTAAATTGGATATACTGCTTCATTTTAGCATTGTAGTATATGTATACTCATTTTGACGCGTTCTCCCGTTTAATTATTGCATAACAATGCCACCAAGTTTCGCTACAAGTTTGTTCAACAGGCATTAACAACTTCTTTACAAAGTTTCAAAGTTTTATTTCCAAGGAATTCGCCATTTGCATAAACGTAAACTAAGTCCATAACGGAAAAGTAAAATTTAAATTGTATCCTTATTACCAAGTTTTCTTACTAATATGATACCTTGAAATGTTGTTTAGGGTTTTAATTTTTTTTATAAACAAGATTTTTAAGTTTTAAATATAAAAGTACTGAACACTCCATAAATAAAAAATAATTTAGTAAAGGTGATTCTTTATAAAAGGACAAATGGAAACCTACTTTGCATTTTTGAATTCTGCGTAAAATTGTTTTTTAAATCGTTATCCCATCTTGAATTTTGAGATATTTTTTTAAATTTCACATACAAAAATATATAAAAAAATTTGTGGTATTTATTTTCCTAAAAAGATTATGTTTCGATAAATAATTTAAATTGATAACTCATAAAACTTATTTATATATAGTGATGCCGCGAGACGAGACGAGACGAGAAAAGTCCTTCTCTCGTCTCGTCTCGTGCAGCGAGAGAAAATGGGTCTCTCGTCTCGTCGAGAATACTCTTTTCTCGCTCGAGAGTGCCTTTCTCTCGTCTCGTCTCGTTTCTCTCGTGGTAAAAGTACCTAAGTATGAATACAAAAATTATTTGGAATGAAATACGAAATCGTTTATATTCTTCTATATAGAAATTTAAACTGGAAATAAAATAAAATGTGTGCCAAGACCACACTAATAAAGTAAGACTTTTTACGCCGAAAATGTTGCGCATTTGAATCAAATGGTTGGATCTATGTAGAGTAGTTACATCTAGTATTATACACCTATAATAGGTGTTTTTTTTTTAACTTAAGACAGCTCAATATCTCGTGAAATACGCATTTCACAGAAAAATGTCTTATATTAAAGGTTAATGTGACCAAAGGGGACATTATTTGGTGCTACCGCTAGCCCCCTCCTTAAGGGTGAAACGGGGGGTAACTTTAGAAAGTCAAATGGAATGACCCGATTTTTTCACAGATTTTGGTAGTACATAAAAAAATGAATAACTTTTATTTGAAACTTTTTTTAAATTTATCAACAGATGGCGCTGTAATTCAAAATTTAAGAAAATTGGGTTTCCTTGTAAAATGTATTATTTGAAACGTTTGAAAAACAAAAATTAACATTAATTCAACAATAGTCGGCTCTGAAAACAATTTATAACAAATGTTCAAAATGTCATCCTTTCATTTCGACACCTTTTTGAATGCGGGTAATGAATTCTGGCTCCACCATGTCCTCCCGAGTTGTAGGAATTGCAGCGTAAACATTTTCTTTCAAGTAACCCCACAGGAAGAAGTCTGGCAGATCGTTTTCTAGAAAATTCCGGTAATTTTCACCATTTAATGCCGTTCGCCAAAGGTACCGCACCAAACGTTTACCGACCAGGGACGCTGGTGCTCCACTTGGTGTCGAAATGGAAGGACGACATTTCGAACATTTGTTATAAATTGTTTTCAGAGCCGACTATCGTTGATTTAATGTTAATTTTTGTTTTTCAAACCTTTCAAATAATACATTTTACAGGGAAACCCATTTTTCTTAAATTTTGAATTACAGCGCCATCTGTTTATAAATTGAAAAAAATTTTAAATAAAAGTTATTCATGTTTTTATGTACTACCAAAATCTGTAAAAAAAAAGGGTTATCCCATTTGACTCTCCAAAGTTACCCCACGTTTCACCCTTAAGGAGGGGTAGGGGGTGGCTAGCGGTAGCACCAAATAATGTCCCCTTTGGTCACATTAACCTTTTATTTAAAACATTTTTCCGTGAAATGCGTATTTCTCGAGATATTGAGCTGTCTCAAGTTAAAAGAAACAGCCTGTATCGGCGCAGTAGTTTTCAATGGATCAAATCATTTGATCCATCCATCTGAAAACTATTGCGCATATATGATGTAACTACTCCACATAGATCCAACCATCTTGTACCTACTGCGCATGTCCGTCATTTTGAATCTGCAATTTTGTTTTTTTTAATGGATATCAAATTCTGAATCAGGGACCCCATAAATATCTGAATACTAAATTTTACCCAAACCGACAAATTTTCGTTATATTGGATCAGCCATTTTATTAAAAAAAATGGATATCAAATTAAATTTATAAAATAATAATAATAATAATAATAATAATTTTTAAAATTTACCCTGTATAAGCACATCTATGGCACGCCTTATACTATTAAAAAAAAACCCGTATGCTTAAAAAGCATTGCATATTCAATAAACTTATCAACAACATGTGGTTTTTGAGGGCCTGATTACAAATTTTGTAATCAGGCCCTCAAAAACCACATGTTGTTGATAAGTTTATTGAATAAGCAATGCTTTTTAAGCATACGGGTTTTTTTTTAATAGTATAAGGCGTGCCATAGATGTGCTTTTGAGGGCCTGATTACAAATTTTGTAATCAGGCCCTCAAAAACCACATGTTGTTGATAAGTTTATTGAATAAGCAATGCTTTTTAAGCATACGGGTTTTTTTTTAATAGTATAAGGCGTGCCATAGATGTGCTTATACAGGGTAAATTTTAAAAATTATTATTATTTTATAAGTTATTTTTTCTTGGTTAAGGTTAAGTTGTGTTATAAAATAATACAACGTTAACCAGGAACAAATTTTGTTTTTTATGAAATGCGAATAATGTTCTCATTGGTCCAAATAAATATCGTAATTTATGTGCAAAATTATAATTTTTATGTAAAAAAAAAATTGTTTTTTATAATCGAGAGAACGAGAGAGATCGAGAGAAACGAGAAATTCTCGAGCGAGAGAGGGCATTCTCTCGTCTCGTCTCGAGCCTTTTTTCGAGAGAAAATCACCCTCTCGTCTCGTCGAGACGAGACGAGACGAGACGAGAGGCGAGAATCTCTCGTATCGGCGGCATCACTATTTATATAGATCTAATAAAACTGACACAAGTTTTTGAAAAAAGTGTATAAAAAATTATTTTTGTCAAATATTATTTCAAATAATTTGTAAATTGGTATTCTATTAAATAATGCAGTCCACAAAACAGCGAGAGATAGTTACGCACATTTTTACGAGAATAACTCATTTTTTATTGTTTCTTGTCGCGGTATTTTAGGGTCGTTTCGCGTCGAAATGCGCATAAGTCCTAATAAACACCGGTCGTTGTAGTTCTTTTTCTTTAAAAGCTTTTCACGTATTCTTTTTATTCAATTTTCCCAAACAATAAAACGCTGTTATTTCATTATCCCAATGCGTTCGGTCAGCCAATTTACAGCCCGGAAAAAACATATTTAAGTTATGGTTCGACTCACGACTTGATCGTAAATATAAAGAAAACGTTCGGGGAAAAAATTTGTACACAAAACATTTTCATCGATTTTTTCCGCATTTATTTAAAAAAAAAAATACGCATATACATATGCACATTCAACTTCAGGACGATATTGTTTGTATATTTTCTGAGAGAGGTGTGCTATTCGTGAAAAATTGGTGAAGCCTCTTGTGAAAAATTTGAATTGTAAATTTATATCGGTGACAAAAGGGAGGCATCTATTTGCATACTTTTTAACAACCCTCTCTCTCTGCCTGTGTCCCTGCTCGATTTTGGGTTTTAGGTTGGCAGCCCTTTCGCGCGCGCATTTTACTCTGCTTAATGCTGTAGAATATTTGCCTGTATAAAGGGATACACAAAGTTTGTTTAACCTGTTTATGTTTTAAGCGAAATATTTGCATTGTATGTATTACGTTTTTATATTGTAATATTATTTAATTTCCCGGAAAACCAAGAAACCGAAAAAAGTAATTTGAATTTTCTTTGTAATTTAACGGTAAAGGTTTCTTTTAAATGTAAATAAAAATAAAAAACGAAAAATAATATACGAAAATAATCATTTAAACCATGGACAAATGATGCAGTCTCCATTTTTCGTAAAAATACGATGCTGTGCAATGCATGTGAAATGAAAATTAAAATAAAATTAATAGTTATTTGTTTTACAAGTGTTGAAAAGTGACAAGTGTTGACATGCGATTGTTTAAGTTGGTCACGAGGCCGTTAGGCCGAGTGTGCATTAACAAGAGCTTGAAGAAAGCTTTTCTCACAAGCAAAACACAATGTTTTTTCTTCCACCCTTTAATTTTTTATTATTTTGAAATACAAAACAAAATAACCTAAAAACGTGTTTGACACCTGTTAAAATTACTTTCATCTTAGTTACTTAAAATCAATAAACTTACCTTCCCAATTTAAATAAAGCCACCAAAAATTAGAATTTATTATACAAACACAATTAATTGTGTTCTTAATGATATTAAGACATACATATACAAATACAATACAAATGTCAAACGATGCTGTCAATTTTTTTTCACACAGAAGTGTCACTTTTCATACAGAAATGTCACTTTACATTCGAGTTTTGTCTTGCCAATGAAAAGATTCATTTTCTTAGCAACGATGCCATTACGAAATGTGACTTTTACA